GAAAAAAAATTGGATTTACGTGTAACATTATTTTATGAGAGAATATATAGTTGAAAAAAAAATAAAAAAATACATACACACACTTAGATTGATGAAATACATTAAAAATCCGATATTTTTTTATTACAATTCTTATTCTCCTCTCTACACTTTTTTGTATCTATATAGATTAGATATAGTGTCAATACAAGATAATTTGAAATTATATATATATATATAACGGTGGTCCATTTTTACAGTGCATGGTCCCAAAAGCATTGAATATCACAGCTTACCTTTTGTGCATTCAAGATCAATACTCCTAACCTCATGTTTGTATTTTATTTTATTTTTTTCATTATGGATGATGTGCTTTCTGGTATTAATTGGGTCAGCAGTGATGTGTGTATAGAAATTGTACACATACAAATATTACAGAACAGACAAAGCATTGGGAGTGAGTGGTTTTTTTTCGGATTTTTTATCACAACATGGGACTCGCACAATATGAGATTTTTGATGCATTTTTGTGAAACAGTTTTTTCTGTACGAATGGAATTGCTGCAATTGGGTAGACAAATTTGTGCAATGCACAAATAAACATGGAGATACATAATTAGAAGTTAAGAACAATAAACATTTGCAACCCAAAGCTTGAAGAATACAATAAGCCCAAGAATTAGAGTGTGGAATCAAGAATCAAGTAGAGAAATTTAAAAGAAATAATCTATGTTTTGAATATGACACAGAGAATTTGAAGGAAAAACAAAGCAATTGTGGTGAAAATAAGGGTTTCAAAGGTTTTAACTTTTCAATTTTAACTCATTTGAACCAGAAATGATCACGAGTTTTCTATAAATTGTCCAGTTCAACGGGTTTTCGGGAGGATTTTTAATTAGAAATTTTATAAGTCAAATCGGACTAGTTTTGGGGCTCGGTTCCTCGTTTTTCTGATCAATCCGATTCGATTTTTAAAACATTAATTTTCAATAAAAATTCTGAAAACATTCAAAATATGAAAAACAAGTATTTAAATTAAAATTTAAAAATATAATATTCTAACAAATAAAATTTTAAATTTTAAAAAAATAAAAATTTCAAAAAATTAAATCCAAAAAAAATAAAATAAAAATCTGAATAAATAAAATTTTAAATTCTCGAAAAAAAAAATCAAGCTCATAGCAATTATTTACATGAAGATTCTAGACAAACATTTATTTGAGCACATGTAAAAATATTTCCAGTTAACATCATTGATTTTTATTTTTTTCTTATATTTTGAACTTAATTTTATTATTTATTTTGTTGTGAGAAAAAAAAAATGTAAGATTCACTAACTTTAAAATGTATATATATTATTTGATAATATATTATCATAAAACTATTCTATTTTCATTGATAATCAAATTTAATGGTATAAAACGTCATTAAACAAATTTTCAAAATTTCAATCTAAACGTGTTCTTTAATTTTTTGCTTTTGAGAAATAATTTTTCAAAATAATAATCCAAACGCATTTTTTAAAAACTCTAAAATCGGCCCTCGAAAAACAAAACATTAAAAATGATGACAAAATTCAAAACTAAAACACAAATCGAATAGGCTATTAATTTTCATTTAAAAATTTACAAAATGATTTATAAATAGAATAGTAATGGACCTCAAGATATTGTATGAATTTGACTAAAGTTATTGTTATTATTATTATTATTATTATACTTGTGTGAACTTCCCAATTCTAACATAAACTCTTTTCTTAATTTTCTTTCCTCTGGCTAACTACCACCTTCCCAACCATCTACTAACCACACGCTCTTTCAATGCCCCTTTTCTTTCTCCCTCTTTAAATAGCACAAAATATACACCCACATACCCAGCTACCAAATCTCCTCTCTCCTCTTTCCTCTTCCTCTCTCTCTCTCACACACACTGCGTGTACACCGTGTGTGTGGTGAAATGGCACCAGCACTGTTGAATCAAACCGTCTGTGTAATGGATGCATCAGGCCGTTTGGGCTCCGCCCTCGTCCACCGCCTCCTTCAAAGAGGCTACGCAGTTCACGCCGCCGTGCACAACCATGGTTTGTTAATTTTTGCATATCATTTTCTTGCTCACATACAGCTGTTTTCTTCTTGTATTTAAAGAATTGAAGTACCATACAGCTGTTTTCTTTATGGGTTTTCTTTATCAATTTTTTTATTTTTTTTATTTTTTTGAATCATTCAACTTTCAGAGATCCTTTTGCTTAAAAGTTGAGCGAATTCTGTACAATATTTTTAGTAATTAATAAAAATTATTAATGGAATATTGCAGATGAGTTGCAGTCTTTTAAGAGATTATCGAGTGATAACAAGAAATTGAGAGTATTTGGTTCAGACCCTTTGGATTATCACAGCTTAATGGAGGCATTGAAGGGCTGTTGTGGCTTATTTTACTCCTTCGAGCTTCCTTCAGACAACCCCACATATGATGTAAGTTTCCTTTCCCTAGTACTAATAAGCCTAAATCTCAATTTTCTTTTTAGAAGACATTAATTATGTTGGAATCGTGAAAGGCGGCATATGTTTTTCAAGATTATGCTGAATGATTCAAATATCATCATGGCCTTCACGGTGATCAAGAAGTGCTTTTAATCCTGTAGCTTTCTCGGGAGCATAAGACTTTCCAAACGAGCCCTAAGTTTATATAATTGGAGCTGTGACGTGTATAATTTGTTTTAAAGCATGTGACTGATATGAGATTAAAAAGGTTTTATGTGAACTTCAAAAAATAGTTAGGAAATTCAATGGTGGTTTGAGTCTTGTTTTGAAGTGGTGTTTCTTTTCTGATACAGGAATTTGTGGGTGAATTAGAAGTAAGGGCAGCACACAATGTGCTGGAAGCTTGTGCACAGACAGACACCATAGATAAGGTAGTTTTTACTTCGTCTGCCACGGCGGTTATCTGGAGAGACCAGCACAATAGCGTCCGTTCGGATGTCAATGAAAGAAACTGGAGTGATATTAACTTCTGTAAAAAATTTAAGGTTGGAATTGGAAATCCCATTAAACGAATTTTCTTAATCAAAGTAAGGAGTTTGGATTTTGATGTAATTGAATCTGTACAGCTATGGCATGGACTGTCAAAAACGGTGGCAGAGAAGACAGCTTGGGCATTGGCAATGGACAGAGGGGTGAACATGGTTTCTATTAATGCAGGGTTGTTAATGCATCCCAATCTTAGTATCAAAGATCCCTATCTGTTGGGGGCCGCTGAGATGTTTAAAGATGGTGTCTTTGTTGCGGTGGACCTTGGATTCTTAGTCGACGCTCACATTTGCGTGTTTGAGGACTCTTCTTCTTATGGACGATACCTATGTTTCAACCGTGTACTAAATTGCAGCAAAGATGTTGTCAAGCTCTCATCTATGCTTTTACCATCTTCATCTCCACTAGGGTACAATTTTTTTTTACTTTTCATTTTTATGGGCCTCAGTGACATATTTGATAGAATAATACTATTTGTAGTTGCTCGTTACCGCAGCCTCCTTACGTGACATATATATGACGGTTAGTGATACGTCACATAAAGTAATAAAAAACCACCACGTGAATATATCAAATCACTTATCGCCACATGTATGTCAAATAGGGCGATTGCGGTAATGAGCGATTGCAAATGACATTACTCTATATGATATATTGTATTGAACAAAATTTGACGTCTTTGTTTAAGCGCAGGTTGGAGGATGAGGGGGTCCACGAGCAGAAAATAAGCAGCCAGAAACTGAGCAAGCTTATGGTAGATTTCAATAGCGAGCTCCAAATGGAGTGATGTTCACTATCCAGTTTCAATTATATGTGTCACCATATGCAATCAACGATAACACGTACAGTTGTATATGTGTAGCGAAAATTTAGATGTATCAAAATGGGAATTATCAAATTAATATTAATTTATTTTGCTAGAGCCTTGATGTGTTTTTTAAAGCCATTATAGTGCAAATCAAGCAATTGGTGCATGTGAATGTGATGGCATAAGAATATTATTCTAATAACAATGAACTTAGCCAAATTAGAGTGGATGCATGTGGTTGTCAATTGCTTAAGGGGAAAGAGGGGATGTATTTGATTATTTTTAGTTGCTTATGTAATTGGTCATTTATAATTGACATATGCACGCACTTAAAGTCAACTCTCCACCATTTTGATAGTGTATGTAATTCATTTGTTACTTCCCATCATAATCATACAAGCGTGCACTCATAATATAGTCATGAACAAGATGTCTTGAGATATAACACAACATTTTACCAAAATGACGGTTCTTCCGCGATCATTTTATTATTATTTTTTGTCGACGAAGAAACGACTAAAGAGAGAAGATAAATTACGGTTGTTTCACGATCATTTTATTATTATTATTTTTTGTTTTTTGTTTTTTGTTTTTTGAGTCAGTCCATTGTATTCATTAATTACTTTTTGGTTTATCGAATAAAAACATAAACAATGTTTTATTTAGTAATTATTTTTACATATTTCAAAAGAGTTGAGATCTGTTATCCACCCAATAATTAATTGATACATTACTTTAAATTAACATGTTCAACTTTACTCACACTGCAACTTGTGCTAAAAAATAGGTGTTCAATAATGTGTAAATTTGTGATTAGTGGACGACAAATTGGATAGCAAATGTCAACTCATTTCAAAGTAAGTATATTGGAATTCTGCCTTTCTCTATATTGTTTAATACGTTTCTGCAACTCAATTCTTAATGCAACAATGCCCCTGGAATTGTATTACATTATACGAAAGAAATATGCACACATAACATCATTTTTGAAAGGATTTGACCCAATCTGATTAAGTTATTATAAAGAATGAGTTTTGATAATGGAATTAGTAACTCCAATTATGCTCAAGCTCGATTCATGTTTTTTCTTTTAAAGATTCGATTATTTTATTCAAGTTTTGCTTTCAAGAATTCAAGTTCTAATTTACATGTCTACGAGAATATTAGTCAATGAGAAGAGAACATTCCATAATTCAACTGGATTTGTGTAGTCAACAATTTGAGAGTTTATTGCATAATATGGTAAAATATAAAGTGGGTGTATTCATTTGGAACTTTTAAAAACTTTTAAGGATTTAAAATTTTTAAATATATTCAATTGAGACTTTTAAAAACTTGTTAAAAGTTTAGGTGTATTCAATTTAGACTTCTATAGATTTTTTAAAAAGTTGCAAGATATCTAATTGAAACATTTTATAAATCTATATAAGCCATGAAGTATTCTAATATACAATGACTTTTGGAGAATTCTTTACATATAGGACTTCTGGACACGTTTTGGTGAAAAATATAAATAGCAAATCTCAAAGAAGATTTCTCATACGCTCTGAGATTTATGAAGATTTAGAGCAAAATAAAAATAAAAAATAGCGTCTTTTTTCTTTCAATTATAGGATTTTCTCATATTTCTTGAATTCATTTACCGCAGTCATAATGTTTATTTTTTATTTTATTTGTGCCAAAAGTAAATAACTGGTCCGTGACTAGTGACTTTACTCAAGAAAATTTTGTGGGCATTATGTATGTCGAAAATGTTAATTAGGTGGTAAGAAATATTGTAATTTTTCATGTATATAATGAATTTGTAAGATGAAAATCTTTAAAAGTCCTTAAAAATCTTTAATCAAAATCTATAGAAATCCATGGAAGGCTTTTATTAATTCTTAACAAATTCATAGAAGTCACTTAAAATTTCATAAAATCCACAAAAGTTATCCACTTAAAAAGGTTTATCAAAATCTCTAAAACTCTCAATTGAATACATCCCCATAAATATTTTCTTTTTGTATTGGATTTCTATTTAAAGAAATATGGATATTGGATGATAGTACTGAAAATCCAATTTGGTAAATACTATACTTTATATATATAATTGAATAGTGAATGGCTGTCTGTATATGAAACCAATAATTAATATGTACTAAGTACTATTTAAAGGGCCTGTGGCATCTTATCGATGCATGGAATGATATGCAGTTTCAAAGTTCTGAATTATTTCTCAAGTAATCAATTTTGAAAACCAAGTAAATAAAATTTGGAGGTCCGAATTATGAGAATGATTTATCTTTAATTAATGAAATATGTTTTTAATCAATCATTTCATAAATAAAATTTTGTTACAAATAGAGCAAAAAAGAGGAGAATATAAGAATCTGAACTCAAGTGACTTTTATTGAGAATCAAAACCCATATTTATAGGGTGCAAAATAAGAGTTACAATTTAAATGAAATAGATCTTCTAAATTGGATTAGATTTATCCATATATCATGATAATACTAAATAATTATCAATAATTATCTCATTATTTTACAACACTCCCCTTTGATGATTATTTGTACAATAACTATTTCATTGATACCTTATTTGGCAAAAAAAATTCAATGGGACAAAAATGCCTATAAATGAAAAAAGAGTATAAATGATTTAGAGTAATAAAATGCTATTTCGTTAAAACATTGTCAAGAAAATTCAGCGGGACAACTTGATCAAAGAAAAAAGAGTACAACCACTCCCCTCTTTTTAATTCTTGTATCAAGCTATTCGTGTCTCGTATATCAATGTCTTCAATATTACAATTTCCGATGAAATATGTCTCATGTTGTCTTATATATCTTCAAATAACACCGTCTTCATACAAGTTATTTATCATCCTTTAATAACTACAATAACATGATGATCCCAAAAATAGTTCTTGTCGATCTCTTTGAGAGTCTCATTATATAAGATATTATTTTGAGGGCAAATGTCTTGTATGCTATGGACATTCATTATACAAAGAATGCCTTATTAAAATTCTATTAGAAAAAATCCTGTGGGAAAAATTCTAATAAAGGGAAAATAGTACATTATTCTACAAAAGTTGTCTTATTAAAAATCTTGCCATGAAAATTCAATGGGACAAAACCTTGATCAAGAAAGAAATAGTACAATGCATATTTACTTCCTCTCATAATAATATCACTTCAAATATGCTTCAAACACATTAAATCCTCCTAGAATAATATTAAATTCATACATAAGATAAGTTAACTATAATCACATTTATTATATGTGTTGACGTCAAAATTTGCAAAGCTAATTTTGAGCCAACTTTAAGAAAAATGGTGATTTATTGCTAAATCGGATCACAAAATATATAGAGAAGATGTAATCGGATTATGATTTTGTGTGTGTCCTTTTTTTTTGTTTACAAGACTTCTACTCTATTATTTATACATGGCTTTAGCCGAAATTATATCAAATCGCCACAGTACTGAGATCGAAACTCGGGTCGTCGAATTCTCCTGTGATTGGTCGACGAATCTGGTGGCCATGTGTCAATATTTTCTCCAGGTAATGATGACCTACAAGGAGCTTGAGATTCTGGGCTTTGGATTGGTGGTTTTGGGCAGTGGTGATGTCGCTCCTGACAAGTGTATTGATTTGAGAAGTTGATGTGATAAGGGGTAATCATGATATTTTCAGAGGTTACGACGGGTCTAATCCGAGCTGCGAAAAATTCGAACTCACATTTGATTGAAATGGGCCCCCAGACAAATCTCATGAGATCGGAGTTTGGTGATCAACAGTTACCCCCAGGTCAATTCTGCCGTAAGGAGGCTAACCTCCTCAGCTGGTTCTTTTTCCAAGGAGTGCAATTATAGCAGTTCCAAGTGTCACTGTTTCAGCAAGGATGAGTTGTACAGTACTTATGGTTGCTTCCTTGGAAAGCTTTTCGGCTACAGGGCTTTTGGGGCATTGATCTTATCCCACTCTTTTTCAATAAGCGGCCCAAATCTAAAACCTTTGGCCTTCTTCCCCCTTTTTAAATTCCCATTTGCCTTTTCATTTAACCATTTCATGCTGTGAATTTTCTCTCTAGGGCAGTGGGCGAATTTCTGGATACGTTTTTCCACCTTCGCTTAATGAGGTCGCCTTTCGAGTTCCTAGGTATTCTTTCACTTTCCTCTCTTCATTGTTCCTGTTTACATTTTCTTATGAGTTCGGACGAGTCTAGGGTACGTTCCTGGGGGAACCAACAGGAAGAGTCCGACCCTCCATCCTCTAGTTCGACGTCTGCTTGTAGGAAAATTTTTAATCCTATTCCTATCTCAATTGCTAACCTAGTCACCATAGCTCGTCCTAGGAAAATGGAGCGGGAAAGGGAAAGCTTGGGGTTGAAGAGGTAGGGTCTTGCGAGGTAGTGAGGGAAATGACTTAGAAGAGTGGGGAGCCAGTTCTTACAGGTCGGTTGTAACGGGGGATATGCTGGTGATAATGATTATTCCTGAACCTTTCGACCGAGCTGACAGGCCGCCCTTAGGATGTGTAGCTTTGAATTCGGCCATTTTACAAGCCGGCCTTAGACTCCCCATCCCAAGGGTTATCTGCAAATTCCTTTCCTTTTGGGGTATAGCTCTAACCCAGCTATGCCCCAATGGGTGGCGAACTTCGATTGCCACCTTGATTTTATGGAACCAGTTAGGAAATCTTGAGCTCAGTGTCGAGCAGTTCAACTCCTTATTTACTTTCAAAGAGGATGAGAGGAGCTCTGGCTGGTGGTATACTAGTGTAGGCCGAGGACCGATGGTTCCCTAGTGCTGGAGACTCATTCCTCAATTAAGAAGTGGAAAGAGGAATTCTTCTACGTGTCGGGGGATTGGGAGTTCCACCCTACCGAGGTGGATAGGGAGGATGTTGTCCCCAAATTCTTCCATACCTTATGTAAGCAACATTTACTCTGATACTTAAGTCCGAGCTGATATTGAAGTGATGCTAACTACCTGTGCTCTTGCTTTGCAGATTACAAGAAGGCCACCTTGACCAAGGATACACAGAGACGTGCTGAGGCCATAAGAGCTCTTCCCAAAAGGCAAAGGTCGTGCAAATACGTGATTTTCGACTCGAACTTATT